GGCTGCCCCATTCCTGACAGTGTTCAAGGCTAGGTTGGATGGGGCTTGGAGCAACCTGGTCTAGCAGAAGGTGTCCCTGCTCATGGCAGGGGGCTGGAACTAGATGATCTTCAGGTCCTTCCCAGTCTAAACCATTCTATGATTCTATGGCATCCCAGTAATAGCAAAGGGGGGAGTTTTTTTTCTAATGACCATGTTATCTTACTCTGTGACCATCCCAACAACTGCTGGTTTGTACCCGGACCTCAGCTGTGCCTCTGTAGATGCTGCCTGTACGTGTGTCTTGTGCTTGTCAATCAGAAGGGAAACTGCTCCTACACGTGATGTAATTAGTAGCCTTTGACGTCTGGAGACGCATCCTTTAAATTGGGTGTGTGCTGGTGTTCAGCTTGAAGAGCATGGCTCATGTAGAACATTAATGAGCATTTGTGAGGAGTTTTAAGAGGTTCTGTTATGAAGATGCTATTTAATGTCTCTGTCAGTGCTATTCTTGTGTTATATATGGGTAAATATAGGTCTGCACGAACATGGTACCAGTGAGGACCATCTTAATTTATCAGTAGAGCAAAGCTGAGGTGTGGGGTGAGAATAGGCTCTGATCCGGGTTATGCCATGAGGGATGACTGTGGTTTAACAAGGTTAGAATTGCAGAATCATAGAATGATTAGGGTTGGAAAGGACCTTAAGATCATCTAGTTCCAATCCCCAAGTTTAATGTTCTTGTCCTTTTTCCTCTTTCCAGCTCAGAGTATCTCTTTAGAAAAAAGCTTGCTCAAAACAGTGGTTTAGCTCCATGATTTTACATAACTAGTAAATATAACACAAGTTTGTCTATTATAAAGGGGAATATAGTTATAACCATGAATACTGACACTTGTTGCAACCCCTTTTTTTTGGATCAGATGATGGATACAGGCAGAAAGGTCAATGCTTCATCTTGATATCACATGCTAAGCAATAGCCACTGCCATCTGCTTCAAGGGATAATATTGTTCCCAGTGGGAATACATTGTCCAATTAGTTAAGTTTAATTCAGAGGTAATGCTCAGAGGCAGGAGCTTTTAATAGTGGTTCCATCCCTGTATTTACCTTGGTGTGTTTGCCTGAGTGTGGCAGGTCATTGCTCTTCACCTTTCCATTGCATAGCTCAGTATAGCATGAAGACCCTCAACTGCTGGGTAATAACTCTTGGCAACAGGAAAATGGGTATTTCTTCTCTGATTCTCAGCCTTCCTGGTGAATTTATGGCTTATGGCTTAATGTTAACACATGAGCTATCACAGGGAGCAATGAGAATATCGGGATCAGCTGACAAGACTGAGAGCCCCTTGTTTCTGTAGCTGTTCGCATCTACTGAATTCAAGGCATCTAATGGAAGGCTAAGTATGCAGAATAATATAGTGATTCTGGTGGTTTGATGCTGGTGGTTTGATGCTGGGCCAGTGGAAGTGACAAGTTTGGTTAAGTGTATAGGGCAACAGTTTTGGAACTCTCATGTAGAAAACAGGCATCAAGGCTAACCTTTGGATGTTTGCAACATACCTCCAAGCCTGTCCTGCTTTTTTGTAAGATGGACATCAAGCTGTATAGCTGGTCCTTCGGAAGAGGAATAGCTCCAGAAATTACTCTGGAAATTAAGGGATATCTGAAACCTTGTTCATAATTAAAAAAACCCACGCATCACAATAGTAATATCATAGAATAGTAAAATCATAAAATTCAATCTTCTAATGCAAAAATCTGTTCCACACTCTCATAGTCACAAGTTCAACTCCCCTGTAACTGCTGTCTCTTCACAGCCTTTATGGTATTTAAGATAACTTTAGGATTAAGTGGGAAAAACCTCAGTGGCTTCTCATGTCTGTATTCTTTGTTAGGAAATGAAATGTGCTAAGCCTCTCAATGTTACGGTCTATTAAGCTGTAGTGTGGTAGTTACAAAGCTAATCACACATACCTGAGAAAGCAAGTGAAATGGATGAAGATCTGAGCCTCAAATTAATTTCATACACTTTTGTAGTCAGCCTGCTGGAGAGGACATCTTTTTGGGTGCAAAATCCTTATTAGCCAAAGACACCATATAATTGATGTAATTATTTCTGAAGTTCCCTCCTCACTTGCTGTGGTGTGCACACTAAACCACACATTTTGAGTTTTAAACTTCATTATTTGTTGTGTTTCAATGGGCTCAGGGATGGATTGGTGTCTTGATAACTGCTTTTTTGGACAGTATGATCAGATGGATGTCTTTGGAAAGCTCCCTGCTTTTGTGGTGAGCTCTAGCTTGGTCCTTTAAAGTTTTATACAGTTCTCCTATGTATCCTTACAGATAGGTCTGTATCTCCTTATAGATAGAGGACTATTAAGGTCTTGAAGAATCTTAACATATCAGTTACATACAGAATAAATGTGTCCTGTCAGCACTTCTGAGTGCTTGAAAATGTTGATGGCTCATGTTTTTTTTCTGTCTCGTGATGAATACAAAGATGATGGGTTTTGTGTTTAGTATCTTGAGTTTTTACGGTATGAGATTTGATTCTTGAGCTTGTTTTAACTGGTGCATTGAGCCAACATGTGCACTGTTTTGTTTCGTTATGGACACACTTTAGGTACTGAGTTTTGGTTCACTGTTTGACTCATCACTTTGATTTCCTTGTCCTCTCTGGTAGTGAGCTGGCAGTTGTAATACTCTTGTTAACAAAAGCACATGTGACAATACCTGTTGTGTAGAACATTAACGAGCTTTTATGGTGTGTTTTGAAATGCTTTCAGAAAGCTTTGACATGCCTAGTGTCAGTGTTGTTAACCTTTATGTTCAGATAAATGGATCCTGCAGTGACATTAACCCCAAGCCATCTGCAGCAGAGAAGGCAACAAACCCCAGCAGTGTGGATTCTTCTTACATTGGATTGAAGATCTTGACTTTTCAGGACAGAATTATTAATATATGTCTAAAATAAGACTTAACACAATTTTATCTTCTGCTGGCTAACTTGAAAATAGTAATTAGGTATTTAATTCAATGTTTTTGAGGAATTACTGTAGGGGTAAGTTGCTACGCAGTCTAAGCTGAGATAAAGACATATGTTGCAATTCACATGGTTATCTTCAATTATAGAAAAGGTAGAGCCAATTTTCCAAACGAATTACAGACATCTTATGTTGCTCTCAAACATTATGACACTATGAAGATAAATCTCAGTATGCAATTAAAGTAGGAAAACATCCCAGTCATTTCTGCTGAGATCTTGAGGTTTCTTCTCAACAACAGCATATAATGCAGACCTTCAAATCATATCAAATTTTGCTGCCAATCTGAGAATATAGAAGATGTTTCCCTTGAGATTCCTTGGAAGGAGGGAACTGAAGTTCTGCAGTGTTACCGCATCCACCTCTAACTCTACAAAAGGAAGGCTTTTCCTTGCAAGAACATGCTGCTGCTGGGAGGAAGGGAGAAGGCTTTGTGAAGTTTGGCATAATAGAAGAGCCTAAGTCATCTCTGTTACTACAGAAGTAGAAAAATATCTTTGTTTTGAAGTAAAATGAAGTGTAAATTGGAATGAACAAGTTCCTACCCGCTATGGTTGGGAGGGAGTGTCTGATACCATATGCCATTGCCATCCTTGGCATCTGTTGACTCTACTGTTGAGTGTCAGAAGGCTTCCTCCTCATTCTGGTGTTTAACACGGATGATAACCCCACACTGGCAGTTGCAATTCATCAGCCATAGGGGTTCCAAACTGCGTCTTCCACTCACTGTTCTATATGTGCAATGTGCATTATTAGAATGGCTTTAGGTGCCCCTTTACTGAAAAAGTGACTCACTGGAAAAAATGCCTGACAAGGTGTTGCTTAAGTCACACCCTATTTATTGTCATTTTGCCATTCCTCTGATCAGGTCATGATTTATAGGTTCATAGTATGAGACATTTAACTTTATATAAATACTGCCTTAGCCTTTTTTCCTTTTTTTTTTTTTTCTTTTATTTTTTTTTTAATGGCTAAAGCTTGTATGTTAAAGGAAGCTCATGCTTGGTGTCTAATTGGAAGAGCTGCACTGACTTACTTGGATATGGAACTCTATAAAATTCATGATTTCTACAGTGTGCCAGAGCTTTGACCAGACGTTGTATTAGCCTCATTTCATCACAGAACCATGAACCTGGCTACCCCTGGGCCAAGGACACAGGTTATCCCTTGTTTTTGCAACTCTTTCTGGGCTGAACCAAGTATGTTTTCTTCCAAGAAAATGGCTATTTGCCACCTGCCCAAAAACAAGTCCATTCATCAAGCATGAACCATATAAACATTTTGTCTTTCTGCAAGGTGCAGGGCAGAGTATCACCTCTATATAAAGTTTTGAAAGAGCAGAGACTGGATGGCAGTAAAGTACAGGTCATACGGGGTAGGACAGACTAATAATTACAAAGAGTGATTTATTTTAAACAATTGACATTCATTAACAAAATTGAGTTCTGAAAGAAACACGTTTAGTAATCTATTAAGATGTTATGCATGTAGATGATTCATGCTGTGGGCAGTCTAAGGGCAAGTATAAAAGTGCTCTACATCAGATCTTGTATAATCATTTCTCTTATTTCTCTTGTGAAGTAGGTAAGTTGCATCTAAATTCCTCTTTCTAACAAAGCCTTTGTTTGTAGTTTTAAGTCAAGATGAATCCTATGCAAATATTATGATTATCAGTCTGAACTTTTCATGAAGTAAATCAATAAATTTTTGACTGTTCAGCTGTTGGCGTTGATAAATGCAGATCTGGATGATGAGCTCTGATTAGTTTTTCATGAGAACTCATTTCCAGGTGTTATTGTGTTCAAATACAAGATTTATAAGAGTCTTCTCGGGATCGAGCTATGAAGATTCTGCCTTTCCTTCTAGCCTGTGTTTAGTCTTTTATTATGATGTTTGATTATGAAACTTAAAAGAACTTGTGCCTTCTTTTTATACTATTCCCTTGCTTTTCAGATTAACCACCCATGAACAATGGTGCACTCTCTAAGCCCATGCACTGACGGCAGTGCTTCCCCGTGTGGGGTGGCTGTGCCACAGCCTGTTGCTGATAGCTGCAATGAGCCCTGTGTCCGTCAGTGTCCTGACTCCAGGGTGGTGATCTACCCTCCACCAGTGGTTGTGACCTTCCCTGGACCCATCCTCAGCACCTTCCCGCAGCAGAGCGTTGTGGGATCTGCAGGAACCCCTGAAGTTGGAAGCGGCTTCAGTGCTGCCCGTACTCCTGGGGCCTCCCATGTTTATGGTGGTGCCAGATGGGGACGGGGATACCCAATTGGAAGCTGTAGACCATGCTAAACCTGCTGCTGCTGAAACAAGAATATCCAGGACATGTCAAACAGGATGTGGATATGTGGCTGAGCTCCAGGGCACAGCATTTAGGAAGGGTTGAGCCATTTGGAGCTGCCATTAAATACATCTGTAGATGCTCAGATCTTCTGAAATATCCATTTACATCCTTCTTGGATTACTTCTCCTGTTTTTCTTTTTCTAACGCTTTCCTATCTTTCTAAGTGCTCTGTTCTTTATGCTATGGGACTATGTTACTAATTCCTTGGGAGCTTGTAGATATCATTGTGGCAACATATAGGGATCTTGTATGACATCCATTTTACATTCCTTTTTTCTGTGGCAACTGATCCATAGAAAAGAGTCATGGAGTCAACTAGCTTCTGTTTCTGTGCTATGTGTGTGTTGCTCTGATCAAGGCTGAGTATCAACCAAGAGCTGCAATAGCAAAGCACCATCAGTTATTACATGAATCATCTTGCATCAAACCATAGGTCGCAGGCAATTTGTACTATCTGTACTATATAATCCTACCTCTGTATGATCTGCTTCCTTAATTAAACATGATATTGCAACATGTTATTGGCCTTGATGTGTGTGTGCGTGTCTGTGCATGTTCCCCTCTGCTCCTTCTAATTCAGGTGCCTTTGAGCTGCTGCACCAAACTGGTGCCATCGGTCTGCTTCAGGGCAGTGATACTGTTGAGAGATTTGGCTGTGGGTTGTGTTTACAGCTCCTTCCCACAGCAAGCTCTGTGCTGTAGCTGTCCCTTCATGAAACTGCTGTCCACATCTTTGCTTTCATTGCTCCAAGTCTTCCTCCGTATTGGCTTTTCTGGCACAGTGCATGTTTCCTGATGTCCTCAGGCTCAATCTCCCTGTCTAGGTGGTGACACAATGCATAAGAGCAGAGGTGTGTGGAGAGTTGGCATTACCAAGAATAATATGAAGCCAAATGTTAGGTAGAAGCAGCTATTTTTGAGTGTATAAGTTGAATGTCTGGATTTACTGCTCTGCTCAATGTTTTACAAGAATGTAACCTATACATGTGAAAATGAATGGTGATGTTCATTCATGGAATTTCCAGGTTCTTCAGGTATACATCGATAATAAACATTTCACAAGCTTCCCATGTGGCTGTATGTGTTTGAAATGTTATGTAGCATGTTAACACTTTGTTACAGAAACAGCATAATTCACTATCACAAGGTGACACAATAATGTGGGATTATTTCATAGTATTCACTCTTTGGAGAATTATTATCCTTATGTGTAAGGAAAACAAAGTTGACCAGGCATTGTAACAGTGTGTAATTGAGTGTTGGTGAGCCTTACAGGAGGTGATTAAACCATAATCACACCAACCACATAAATCCTTCCCTGCAAAAGAGAAATCCCCCAAACCTCAAAAGCCAGATGAGGGAATCTTTATTGTTATGTTAATGGCATATTTGGAAATGAACTCAAGTTTATTATTGAGGTCTCTCTAGTTGCACTTTCCATGTAATAAGTTGAGACTTGCAGTTAAAACAGCAAGTGCCAGTAAACCCAGGAAATTTTGCCAGTGGATTTCTACGGGACTATTTATAATCCACCTTTTATTCAGTTTGATATAATAGCTGCTCATGTGAAATACTTTGAAGCTTTCAGAGAACTGAAGAGATCAATTATCTTATTAAGAAGCTGCCAATGTCTTTTTAAGGTAGAAGCATTTGTTAATGGCTTTTAGGTTCATTATCACGTTATGAGATAAATCTAAACATGGTGAATTTTGAAATGCTTCTTGTTTCTCTCATTGTAAGGCCAATTTTCCTATACCAAGGTGCACTTTCCCTTCTCTTAAAAGATTTTGGTGTAATATCGCACTCTTAAAAGCTTCCAGTCCAGTTTGTGCAATAATCGGGGGCCCAATTTCTCATTTTGGGCTATGCTTACTCTTTAAAAAGGTGTCTCCCTCTTGCAGTGAATCTTTGTGCTGGAGGCCTGCCCTGCAGCATGCCTCATGTGTGGGTTGTTCACAAGGTGCATTTAACTTGGTAATTTCCCACATGCATGCAGTAAATACATCCTGTTCCAGACTGACATTCAGAAGTTGAAATGAAATTACAGGAGTTAGTTTTCTGTTAGCTAAATTAGCCATCGGTCATCTATTATGGTAATATCAGGTACAGAGTTCCTCTAATAATTCACCTTTTCCTAAGCCTTAGGGTGTAAACCCCTATGAAACAGGGAAAATGCTCTTCACACACCACTGAACAGGAATATGAGAAAAACTCAGAGCTTCCTAAGGTGTTAGGATGGATCCATGGAAAACGAGCATCAGTGCTGTTGCCTGATGGATGGGAGGGGCAGGGAATGGTGTGGACCCCAATTCTACAATGATTTGGGACTCTCTGACTCACCTTGTTGTTTGAATGAATAGGTAATAAAATGATCCTGTTTGGTAGCTAAAGACCCCTGCAGCAGGGGCACATGGGATGAGAAGCTGGTTTCCCTCCCTGGTTGATGGTTGGGCTCTAGTCTTTGCATAAGGCTGATTTGCAGCAAGATTCTGGCTGTGCCCTGGATCCCTGGAGTGAGGGGAGGGCTGATGTTGCTTAGATGGGAAGCAGCAGCAAGACGCATCGGGGCACCCACAGTGCTGTGTAGAGAGATGGAGTCACAACTAGAGCAGTGGCATCTTCAAAACAGAAAGGGAAGTGAGGAGGTGTCAGGACGCTCTGAGGCAGCATAGTGAAGACTGGTGACAGGCTGGGCTTGGCAGGCAGGGCTTGGCAGTCAATTACAGCCTGTGGGCAATGTTCTCCAGGCACTGGGTGGTGATTGCACCCACTGTTGGAAGTGATAGTGCCTCTGGTAACGAAGCAAGTGGGATGTGGTGAAAGGAAGAGACATCATAAGTGCAGCTGTGTTGGCTAAAATGGATGGGGGTGTTAAGCTGAGGTGAAAGGACCCTGGGCAGGCTGAGAATTTCACCCAGATCCATGTTTTATTCTCTTCTGTGCATGTCTGTATAAACTCTTCTGCACAGTATGTGCCGATGGGAAAAGCCTTGTGTGCTAGAGGGCATCCAAGGGAGATAAGCTGAATTTATTGTGCTGGGAGACTCTACCATTTCTTAATGTTTTCCCTGGGGAACCCAGCCCTTTTTGCTGCTGACAGAAGCTAGCAGAAGGATTACAGAGGGTGTCTTAATAGCTTTGCCAGTTTCAAAGGGTTGTACCGATTTACTGCCAAGGTGCCCTGCTTAGGAGGCTAGGGTGGAGGTTGCTGTCCTCACCTTCTTCCTGGGGCATCCTGATTTTGTGCTGTCTTGCTCAAACTAGGGCTCAAAGACGTGAGCTCCAAGCAACAAGGCAGCAGACCAAGCCCATCTCTTGGCTGTGGCTGCTTCTTTCCCAGACAAGGAAATGGATCTGCAGGGCTCATCTGTCACAGTCCAGTTCAAGGTCAAAAGGTATAAGTGAAAACAATGACATGGATGTAAAGAAATGGACTTTGGACTGGAGGAACAGCATTTAATGCTCGCAGACTATCCTGCCTCTGGTTTTCTGCCTATGAAAGGGCTTCTCTGATCTGCTCTCATCGTTTCTTGACCTCCCCTTTGCTCAGCTGAGGAATGCAGAAATGGTTGTGTAGGTGGCCACCATGTGAAGGGGTAGCCATGTAGTGTCTCTCTTGAAAATCAGCCCAAAGGTAGCCCCCCACCATCACTTCTGCAACAAAAGTTTTGACTCCTGGTGATGTCTTTGATATGTAATTGGGCTTGCATGGGATCCCTGTAGTTTTGTCTAGGCTATGCTGGTTGAACCACCTTGTTCTGTGCCAGATTATAATCTTTAATATTATAAATCTGAATCAAGACTACTCTAAGGTGACATGGTAGAGGCTGGCAGGAACTCCCTGAATAACCTGGCTGTTCAGTTTGCAAAGGAGATGATCCCTCCAGCAGATGGTCATGGCTTTGATCTTTTCTCTTAGATGTCTTTAACCTTGAGTGTCCTTGTTATCTTTCCTTAGCAGACCATGAGGCTTCCACTCAATCTCTTGCTTTAGACAGTTTTCAAGCACAAAGTCCAGCTTGCTCCAGGAGTGTGCCTGTTTGTAATACAGAGTCAGGCGACGCCCTTTTCTGGAGAAATATTTGTGTAAACCCAGGGTCACAGGTTAGTTAAAATGAGGTAGAACTTCATCCTACTTTGGGAAAAGAGCTGGGGCTGGAGCATTTCAGAAGGAAATGGGGTGATACTCTCTAAAGTCTGGAGTCTTGACTTCCCTTTTATGGTATGGTTGGAGTGGCAGTGCTGCTGGTCCCTTTAGTGTGGCATATGAGCACAGACAAAAGGAGAAGACTGGATGTCTGATACTATCAAGCAAAGTAATTTTAATGAAAATGAAAAACACTGAGGAACAGAAAGAATAAGTTTGCAGTTTTACAGAAGTTTCTTCAGCAAGCAGAGTACGTCTGATGTTGGATGATGCTTTCTCCTTGTGGAAACAGTGGAGTTTGACAGTCAAGACATGTTTCTTGCTTACAGGGTTGCTTATAAATCATGTTCACTGCCAAATGAGGAACAGCATGGATATGTAACACAGCTTCTCTCCTAGGTGTCATCTTTGGTGAAGTTTATAGCTGAACAAAGTGGACTTGTTCATGGTGGTTGCAGAAACTCCTATTACTATGGCAATACAAAGTGGCTGTGAATTAACTTAAAAAGCACTTTACACCTGAAAGTCTTGCTTTACTCTATCAACATGCTGTAAAGATGTCTTAGTGCTTGCTGTAATCCAATTTGCCCTTTAGAGTAATAGTTGAAGATATTAGAAAGGGTTATATATGGGGTAGTCTTATGCAGTTTGGCACCCACATGTCCCACTGAACTCAGCCAGAGGCATGGGTGATCGGTGCTTCCCAGCACCATAACCTTAGCCATGAATCCGTGTCCTGCATTTCATTTGTTGGTTGCTATTTCTGTTGGTTCAGCATAGACAGCAGTTTCAATAGAAGTATCTGCTTCCAAAACGAGAAGAAAAGGGGTAGCCATACCCAAATCTGTACAGGTCCCCAAAGCCCCCATCAAACCCCCCATAACTAATCAAGCCTCTGTTCCCATACAGGTTCCCAAAGCTTCTGTAGCCATATGGGCTGCCATAGCGGTAGTAGCCATATGGGGTCCCATATTGGTAGCCATTCAGGCCCCCAAAACCGTAGAGGTCATCATAGCCAAATCGTGAGTAGCACCCATCGTCATAGAGATCCCTGAAGAAAGTCATTGCTCGTTGACGCAGGTAAACCTGAAACACACACCCAGAAACAAGGTGACCTTGTGGACTACAGACAGCAGGAAGAAGGGCTCAAAGCTTGGGCAGAGCTGACAAAATGCAACTTGCTGCCTCTTGTAGGTCTTTTTCACCCTCTTAACCATCTGCTTTTTTTTTCTTCTCATCTGAATCCCAAACAACCCTTCCATGGCTGATTATCTGTAGAAAATAGACATTTTACCAACTGAGATTTGAACTTTCCCACCACAGAAGTTAGAGAAATTTTAATAAATTTGAGAAAAATATACCAGTTCTGATCCTAATGCTTATTCAGATGAGACCAACAGCCTATCACATGCATCCCCGCATTGCCTGTAAAGCTGCGTGCCACTCTACATGGGATAAACTCAAACAGTGCAATGGAGGAATTTCCTTCCTGGGTGTCTACTTAAAGTAGTAAACGTTTCATAAAGTTTTTATCTAGACATCTAAATTCCTAACACATAATAAAAAGAATCTGGAACTGGAAATTAATTCTGACTTCAAAGTTGTGGCAGTGAACTTCAAATTTTTAGTGTTTTAAAGCCTACTATTAAATAGGCACAGGAAGAGCAAAAAACTTTCAGTGAAGGAATTCTTTGATGTCACAGAGAATTCTGTGTTTGGGATTTGCTCCGAAATGACAAGAAATTGCTTAGTGTTGTACCTATATATATGTTACATATATGTCACATATATACATACACAACAGTATCTTATATATATATGTCCACACACAATTACTTCTACACACATAACTATACATACATATATACATACATACAAATATATGTGTATCAGAAAAAGTATTGACTTACCTGGTTCACTGGGGGGAGTAGCTCAAGAGAAGTGAATAGCATTTCGGAGTTGTAGGTCCCTATATATACCCTCTTTAACTTAGCTGTTAGTTCTACAGGATATCTTCTTGCATGCATTATTCCTACAATTGATGTAATTGGAGTCAGTGATTTTCATATTTTCAGAGTTTGATGTTATGACATATGTGTAATACCTGTAGAATTTCTTTCATCTTAAAACAAAAAGAGATTGGGCTCAGCACATTTTTAGTAAAATTGCATGAAATTCTTTGTAGTTGGAGGGATAGAAATAATTTGGGGAGATGTTTAGACCATATCCAGTTGCACAATCTGCTTGTAGGTACTCCGGTTACTTGGCTTTTACACCTATGGTGCAACGCATGGGGGAGAGAAGGATTAGGCTTTGGTGTGCCAAAGCATAGTAGTAGAGCCTTGTGGTGTCTAGTACAAGCCAGTGATACTGGTGGGGACCTTTTGCCAGCAACTTTGTTTCGGTTTTGTCCCAGGTTTCACAACAGTGATTTGGAAGAAATCTTTCAATTCCCTTACAAACGTTCCCAAGTTTTTATTCCTATTTTAGAAGATTTTTTAATAGTTTCTGAGTTTTGTAAAACATAAATGCATCACCTTGTTAGGACTTTGACACAAGAGACCTTAATGTGACTTGTGAGTGACCATATTATTAAATCTGGGGTGTTTTTTGGTGACAAACTATTAATATTTAAATACTGCAACACTTTGCAAATTGAGAACATCAATGAGTGTTTATGAAGTGCTTTGGTATTCAAAATTCTGAGGAAGCCTCAACATCCTGCTTGCTCATTATTGCCCTTATTTTATATTCAAATTAATGTCAGAAATTAGGTGAAGGTCATGCAAGGATTTATGCAGTTAACTGCAGCACTCCTCACTGTTGTAGTGAACTTGATACACATGGTTGATTGTTTGTGAAGAAAATATTCATATGGCTCCTTGGAAAATAGAATTCAGTGTATCTCACAAAATCCTTATAATTTATTATTCCCCAGCCCAAATTCCTGCTTGTATTCTCCACTTTTTTCTGCTGAACTTGCTGTCAAGCCCTTCAGTGAACTAAACTGCAAACAGTGCTGTATCTGTCTTTCTGTCAAAAGCATGTTTTCTGCTCATGCAGCAGCATGACTTTTCTTCACCAGGAACACTTTGGAGGAATGCAATTAAGATTTATTTGCAGGTCATGCTGGTCCAGTTTCCTGAAGTTGCCTATGTAGTTTAATACAAAATACCAACATTTATGTTTTCATTTCCTTTAAATATGAACCCTGAGCCATAGTGCATTAGAGTTTTGAGTGAACAACAGAGATTTCAAACATGTGGGAAGGTTTTATTTCTTTACTGAAAATTTCTTTCTCTTTGGGAACTTAGGAATGCTTTTAAATGATATACAAATAAACTTCAGTTTTGACAGTGAAGACAATAAAATGGTATCAGGAATGTAGTTGGCCCAGAAAATGTTAAGATGAAAGAAACCTGTAATACATGTGACATATGGGAGGCTGGGAACACACTAATAATCCCAAACAATGGAGAAAATTATATTAATTGAAGATATGACGTGTACAGGCAAATTTGTTTTCCAGCCAATAAGACTACAAAACTTTTGAATACACAGGGCGTCTAAGATAAGCCAGGCGGGCAAAGAGACAGTATAAAAAGGGCTGAGAGCTCTAGGCTCCTCATCAGCTCTTTTGCCTTCCTCCTCCTGGTGAACTTGGTAAGCCTTCTCTCCATTCATAGGCTTCATATGGATTGGAAATTTTGGGTTAATAATTTTGGGCTTTTCTGAAAGTTAAATTTTCTCTGTAACTTGTGTCTGTGTTTATGCATTGGTGAGTTTTAAAGCTGGGACTGAATTTTTCCTGGTCCTGTTGGTAACTGGGATAGAATTTTTCCTGGTCCTGTTGGTAACTGGGATATCTGGCTCCATGATAAGGGTTGCCAGTTACTAGGTCTGCAGAGGTAGAGAAGGGTTTCTCCACTGTAGCCCTCAGTAAGGTCTTCCATAAATCTTCTATTTCATTTTAAGGGAGGTCTTCAGGTCTGTTTGCAGGACAGCGGATGTTCGTGTGTGCTGATGCTCCATGGCTTCTTGCATGTGCTGTCAGCATTTCCAGATTCCAGTCAAAACTGGTGTAAATTACTGAAATGGGACCTTCTACTTTCATAGAATCAACTAGATTGGAAAAGACCTTTAAGAACACCAAGTCCAACCTTTACCTCAGGACTAAACCAAAAGCTGAAGCGTGTTATCATGGCAAGTGTTAGACACTTTAAGCTTTCTTGAAGACTTTCTTGAACGATTTGGGAATGTAGAGCTCTATCCAAAGCTGATATCCTGAAAGAAATTTAGGATTATTAACTCCTAACAGTATTCTTTAAGTAAAATCCTGAAACAGTAGTAAAGAAGTTTTGGTCTGTAACAGGTATACTCCACAGCCAGTGCTTCACAAATCTCAGTGAGAAAAGACATAAACTCCATTGTTTCAAAAGAAAAGGAAATGACAAAGCAGTAGAAATGGGATGTAATAAGGAGAATAAGGAGCTGAGGAATTTGGTGATAATTTTGTTTCCGTCCTTGGTCTCACAGGGCCAGTCTTTTGGCTCTGAGACTGTTTCTGCCACCGTAGTATTCATTATGTTTGCTTTCCTCCCTGCTGTTGCATTTCAGGTTTGCCGCCATCACAGAAAGATGACCTTTTTTCAAAACCAGTACGAAGATGACTGCTATTCTCCCTGCAATTATGGGAGCCTGTACAACTACCGCAGCTACGACTATGGGAGTCCCTGTGGCTAACGCCGCGTTTGGTTTGGGGGCGCCCCTGTGCCTCCCGCGGCTATGGCAGCCTCTATGGCTACCGGGGCCTCTATGGCTCTGGGGACCGGTACAGCTGTGGTGGTCTCTACGGTTACCGCGGCATTTATGGCTCTGGGGACTACTATGGCTATGGGGGTCTGTATGGCGGCTATAGGGGCTACTATGGCTCTGGAGACTGCTATGGCTACCCAAGCTTCTATTCCGGCCGCTATGGCTACCCCTTTGGTTCACGATATGGCCTGAGGTTCGGCTACGGGAGCTGCTAAACCCAGCTGGAACATCCCTGAAGTGAAGATCAACTCAGGCCCAGCAAGCACGGACTGATGGGGAATCTTGGCAGCAGTGGTCACTGGTGTGCAGAGCCCTGGTGGCAGCAGCCACCCACCCTTCATGGAGGCTTTGAGTGCTCTGTGCTGCTGTTGAAGTGCTTGCGATGATTTATCTTCTGCTCTGTGTCTGTTTGCTCTTTTGCCACCCAAATCCTCCTCTTGATCAAAAGCTTGCTTCTGCAGTTCTTTGTGAACTACCTTTCATGTTTATTGCCATGATGTACACAAAACCTTAACGCTGATTGAATGGCATCAGCAGGGTGTAATGTGTCTTTGGGAATGTGGTCTTTCAATTCTTTATGCCTTTGAAAGTCTATCTGCCTTTCACTCACATTAAAAATTATGCTGCATCAGTACTGCATTTTTAGTTTTATTCTTACCTGCATGTTTCAAATATCTTGAAATCAATAGCATCACACAGATTGGGTGACAAAGGTATTAACTTTGTTTAGTCAGGGATTTGCTTGTAGAGACTTGCCCTTCTCAAGCTGGGAAAAATGGACTTCTGTAGCTGCAAGAACCTTCAGCTGTACCTCTGGTTATACATGTTTCTACAACTCCAGGCTTTGGCTTGGTGTATTTCAAATAAGTGGTTCATTTAAAGTACTTCATTTTTGCTCTTGGGATAATGTCATGTGGTTCAGACATGATCCATCACTGGCTGTGGTCTGCAAATGTGTGGACTCATCAGGTTTTAAATTTTGAAATAAGTTTGTGTTTTATATATTATCATAGAATCATTAAATAGTCCAAGTTGGAAAGTACTTGGAAAGATCAGGATTCCCTGATGGAAAAGGGGGAGGATTTTGCCCTTTGCAGTGTAAATAGTTTGGTAGGAGCAATGGAAATCCTTTGACCAGCACCTCTGAGGCATATTTTTGTCTGTCAGTTCAGGGAAGTACACTTAGATCCCACAGTTTGGAATGACACAGAGTTAAAACTGATTTTACTGAGTTTTTATTCTTTTTCCCACTGAATATCATGGGCAGATACTGTAGAATCTCTGGGTTCATAACTGAGAGACTGTGGCTGCACTGGGAGGAAGGTGATGGCACTTTCTCACTGCTTCCATGGCTGGAGGCAGCTTCCAAAACACCCTGGGGAGATGGAATACTGTTTCACTTGATTTTAACTTTTTTAAGGATTAGCTGCCTCTTTTTTTTCTCACTTCTCTTTCTGTCTTTTAGCTTTTAGTCCCCAGATTTAGTGAATTCTTCTGACTGCTCCTGTAGAACTGGATTTTGTTCTACCCTGTGTCTGCATGAAATGTGATAGGAAATTGTGACTCTGGAACAAGAACATTTAAATTGCCAGGAATAGGACAACATTCTGCTCACTCAAGCATCTTTATATACTCTCTGTAGAGGCTTGTGACTAATTCTCCATTTGAAAATATTATTATAAAGACTATTGCAGTCCTATTATGCTGAAATATGGTAACCTGGTAATAGTTTCAATTAAGTAAAGGGAGAAATTGTAGCATTTCTTGAATTTCTGAGTGGTAGAAGGGAAGAAAAGGGTGTATTTACTGGGACCGGCTGCTCTGGAGGTGGAAGGGTATGAAATGATTTGTAAGCACTAGGAATAGAAAATCCCTTCAGGATGCCACCACCTTCAGTATATCCATGTAAACTAGAGACAGAGGAAAGAAGACAACTGGAACTCCATTTTTTTTTTTTCATGCAGAAAGAATTTAATACAATAAGAAAGGAGATTGCACAGGTACAGAAAGATTATAGTTTTGGGATACTGGAAAGAGCTATGGAAGATGAGTCACTGCACTACGCTATCCAGAACATTCCTTCTATTGAAGCTATGTTGTTCATCTCTTAGGTACTTGTAAATCCAGATCAAAGGAGAGACAGCTGTAATACTTCTCCATTACACAGTCCTGCAGCACCTTACTGGAAGTACTTATTGAAAATGCAGACACAATTTTGCAGAAGTCGTTTAACACCACTGCAGCAACTGTAAGAAGCTCCAAATGAACTGCAGATTGTCATTCCCATTGCTGAAGGGTTTAAATTGGGTATCCATCAAAAGCGGTTTAAATGCAGAATATCAAGAGAGAACTCTTAGTTGTGAAAGACAGGAAGAAGCAGACAAAAAGAATAAAAATATAAGTGCCAAAAAATGTTAGAGAGCAGCCAAGCTCCTCGTTCTCACTAACTTAACTTGCTGCCACAGGGGCTCAGCACTTCTGTAGGCATAGACTCTGACCTTAGCCATTCTTCCTTGCTTGCTGGGTCAGGGTTGATTCTTGTTGGAGGGGTATTGCCAATAGGTTTAACAGCAGGGGTAGCAGCACCTGTAGCTGTAATTGCAGCAGGTAGGGTAATAGTATCTGGTGGTGCATGTGGTCCCATAGCTGCAGCAGTCTCCACAGCTGTATCTGCGCCGGTAGCTGCACAGGGTCCGGTAGCTGCAGGGGTTGCAGCAGTTGTAGGTCCGCGAGCAGCACACGGTCCTGTAGCAGGGGGAGTAGCACACGCTGTAGCAGGGGTACCCGTAGCAGCAAGACATCTTGGTGTGGTGGATGGGGGCAGGCAACCTGAAAGAGACAGGCAGGTAAGGGGTAGGATCAGCTTGCAGGGAGCAGAAGTAGTGACTTGGTGGCAAGAGTACCCAATCCCCTTTCTGTGCTCCCTCCTTGTTAGAGTGGACTGTGAGACACAGTTTCTTTAGTTTCTCCTCTTAAAAAGGAATATAATACCCTCTCTTTTTGGACTTTGGACACAGGATGTTCAGCTTGCGGATGTGCATCCAAATATATGTGTTTTGGTGTCCAGGCTCCCAGCACAGGCTGCTGAGGTCAATCATGACAAGTTCATTAAAGGCAGCCTCCTCGTCTGGTTTCATTCTTGTTATGTAAACTATTCCTTTTCCTGTGCAACCTTGACTTTGTTAGTGTCAGTTCTAGCAAGGATACTGAAAATACTCTGCTGGGCAGTAAAGCGATAAGGTTTAAGTCCTCTATTGCCACAGATCGCAGCTGCTCCAGTGACTTCAGAGAGACTAAAGCAATTCATATGACTTGTTCATATTCATTGTTGCAACACCTTTCCATCCAAAAGCCATTTCCACTTTGCATAATATACAATTACACCCATGAACCAAATTTCAATTAAAAAAAAAAGCTAAAGCAATAGAGCTGCTGCTTTCTCTTATATGAAGACAAAACTTCTTACCAGGCTTCACATCTTACCAATGATATCTGAAAATTCATTCATCAATGTCCCCAGCTTTTTTTACTATACAGATTAAAAGCATACAGGATAAAATAGTTCTACCACTGATATATATGAGAGGATGCTAGTAAAGGAGTTATTCCCAAGTTAAAGAAATCTCTGAGAGAACAGGATCTGAACTTACCAAGTTCACTGAGGAAAGTAAACCAAGAGGAGCGATGGGAAGAGTGTGGGGTTGTGAGCACTTTTATACAGTTTCTTAGACCTGTGGAAGTCAGCATAATTCCTCGTGTGCTTCCATTGCCTGTTAGTCACAAAACACATTTCGGAAGTACATCACCAGTGCAATTGCTATAATTGTTTTCCTCCACATATAGGTCAATTTTCAAATTCCTCTGGTAGCACATTGTGATTATGCCTTGGGAGGTTCTTTCATCTTAAAACTTTCCAGGAGAAGTGGATTTCTAGGAATTCACCTAAAGGACAACTGGAAATGAAACTGAAATACATGGAACTGGAATACATGGAACAGTTCCAGCCACACTGCCTGCCTGGCTGGGGAGTCAATAAACTGTTTCTTTGTTATACCCCTACAAGAGAGTTGGATACTGCACATTGTGGGGTGGTGTAAAATACCTGTCCAGGAAAGAGGCATTATACTATGTGCTTAGGGCTTTTCCCAACCATTTTGATTCATTTCCGTCACAATTAATGACAGGCGTTCCATTGATTCCTTTACGTTCTGCTATTGTCTATAATTTGGCATACACACTATGAGAAGTCTAAGCCAAGGCACAGGATCAATTACATGAGCATCTGAGCAATGTGTCTGAGACTGTCTCGTTTATTTTTGACTTCTGTCTTTCTCTTTTCTGGATGAAATCGTTAGAAAATATTTTTTGAATCAGTATCTACTAATATCAAACACACAATATTTACTATGTATTGTTTTATATATTATAT